GTCCACGCCACGGCCGCATCCCTCCCCACGGTCCATAGGATGGTCAAAGCAGGGCCACGGTCCACATCACGGCCCCATCCCTCCCCACAGTCCACAGGATGGTCAAAGCAGGGCCATGGTCCACATCACGGCCCCATCCCTCCCCACGGTCCATAGGATGGTCAAAGCAGGGCCACGGTCCACATCACAGCCCCTCAAGCCTCCCCATAAGACAAAGCAAGGTGATGGTCCACAGACCCGCCTCCACTGTCCCCACAGTCCACATCACAGCCCCATCCCTCCCTACAGTCCACAGGACCGGTCAGAGCAAGGCCATGGTTCATGTTCACAGCCCCATCTCTCCCCACGGCCCACAGTCAGAGCGAGGCCACGGTCCACACTACAGCCTCCTCCCCTCCCCACGGTCCACAGAGTGGTGTCAGAAGGCCACAAAGGCATGGATCCCCACCTCATCCCACCGGATGTGTGAGAGAAACCACGGTCCCTGCCAAAGCTCCCCTTCTTCCATGCTCCCCACGGTCCACAGGATGGTGTCAGGACAGCCCACGCCATAACCCTCACCCCCACAGGACACGTGAGACGGAGGTCAGGCAGCCACGACCCAGTGCTCACCTCTCCTCAGGAGCCACGAAGGATGCACCGAAGCCACCAATGTGCACCCCTCCCCACAGGCCACAGGATGGTGCCCGGGCACGGCCATAATCCATGCTGCTGGACACCAGAGCCCTCACCCCTGGACACTGGGCTACAGATAGACACACAAGAGCCACAGATCTATACCACAGCCCTCTACCCAATCCCACAGGCTACAGATGGGCACACACCCCCCTGCCAGGAGTGGACAGACAGGAAGGTGAGAGGCAGGCCCAGAAACGGCATCAGACACCCAGAGAAGTCCAGTAACACCCCAACCCAGGCCAGCATGAGGCCAGGCAGAGGAACAGTCAGCTCCCCCAGAGGAAACACCCCACAGGGCTCACCCATGGGGCTCTACAGCTGGCTGGTACGGTTCCCACCAGCCAGCCCTAAGATGCCCATTTCACAGATGGGGGAAACGAGACCCAGAGGACTTAACAACTGACCAGCAGCGGAGCCCAGACCCACACAGAGGCCTGACCCATCGCAAAGGCACTGCAACAGTGCAGGCAGAGACCTCAGCCTCTCCCCCCTCCACAGCCGGACTCAGTGGTCTGGGGTCTGTTTAGCTCTCATGGGGTCCCAGGGGTGGGAGGGGGGCAGGGAGGGTGCACAGGGGCACCTGGCACTTCGTGTGTGCGCTGTGGTGGCAGAAGGTGCAGCCTGGGAACAGGAGCCCTCAGAGTGGGTCTGAGGATGGGGCAGGGGTCCACGCCAGGGGCTGCAATGATAGGCAGGCCCTCCCAGCCTCTCATCTCGAGGTGTCTCGATCAGAAGGAGCACTAGAGAGGCCCCCACCCTGAGACCCTCAGACCCAAGTCGCAGGCCATGGCCTTGGTCCAGCCACCTGGCAGCTTCAGGCCACCACAGTTCTCTGGCCTCAACCTTCCCATCTGCAAAACGGCCTTTCCTCCCTCCCTTCCACGGACTTCTGAGAAGGAGATCAGGACGAGGGGCAATGGCGCCCTTGCAGGGACGGGGGCTCGGGGTCCCTCCTCCCGCATGTGGGGCCTCAGGACCTGTGCGTGGATGAGGGGCGGGCCTGGCTACAGCAGCCAAGTGCCCAGACCCTCCGAACACGCTTCAGGCCTCAGTGCCTGTCCGGCCCGTAGCAGGAAGCAGCCCTGGCCATGCACTATCCCCAAGGTCTCTCCTCGGCCATCACCTCCTCCAGCTGACAGCTGTGCATGGTGAGTATCGGAGACACGTCTCACATTCCAGGACGGCACCAGGACAAGGCTGGACTTGCGGACGACGCCGGCCAAGTCCAGGTTCCTCTCGTGGGCCCTGGCAACTGTCCCCACGGGCCATGGGCTGAGCCATTCCTGCAAGGGGCAGGGGGCTGCAGCCAAGGCAGGAAACTCTGTCCTGTGCCTGCGCTCCGCTCTCTCCATGCCAAGCCCACCCATGCCATGCTGGGGCCTCTGAGGGCGGGACAGAGAAGGGCCAAGGATGTCGCCATCTATCCATCACCACTCTGCAAACGGGCCTGCAGTGGGCAGCAAGCCAGGCAGTTATTAGTCTCCTGTTCCACCTGGGCACAGCCTCCAGAGGCAAAGCACGCCTGCGTAAACCATCATCACTACCATTCCCAAAGGAGGGAATAAACCCATCCACTGACTGAGAAAACAATCCCAAGGAATTCCAGGACCAGGCTGCAGCGGCGCCTACCGACAGAGAATGTTACTGCAAAGCAGCCTTATTAACCATTAGCCTCCCAGAACAAGGATGGCGGGCATCCACGGTGCCACTCTGAGACTGGAGGTCCCCAGATGAGAACTAACAAACACAGCCAGCCTGACTGCCAGGATCTACAAAGCACCTCTGGATCCCGGATCTCACCGACTCCTCTGCAGAAGCCGTCACCACTCACACCAGGGAACGGAAGAACAGAGAAGGCTTCTGTCCTCTGTCACCCAGCTCTCTGATGCACCAGCAGCTAACCGGGAAGACCGTGGTCTGGTCAGGCACACTTTGGTCTCCAGCAGGACATCGTTGCTCTTCGGCACTCTGGAGAGGGCCCTGACAGCAGACTTTCCCAATGCAATCTGTCTTCTGATTTCCTGGCTGCTGGTGCCAAGAGTGTTGACTGTTGATCCAAGCAAGCTGTAACTATTAACAACCTCAATCTCTTCTCCCTCCACCATGGTGCTGTCAATTGGCTCAGTGGTGAGAATCTTTGTCTTCTTGAAACTGAGCGCAAACCATATTATTAAACACTACAGTTCTTTATTTTTTAATCATTTTAAATTTTATTATTACTTTTGTGTGTCTTCCAACACTACAGTTCTTGACATTCAGCAAACACTCCAAATCCACCTCAGTTTTGGCAAGTTACATTGTGTCAGCTGCATAAGGCAGGTTGTTGAGTCGTCTTCCTCTAATCCTGGTGCCACATTCCTCCTCATTAAGTCCGGCCTCCTGAATGACCTGGTCTGCATATAGACTGAAAAGGTATGGTGACAAGATGCATCCCTAATGCACTCCTTTCTTACTTTTGAATCATGCCGTGTTTCCATGCTGTTCTGATGTGTGCTTCCTGGTCCAAGTACATGTTTCACATGAGCACAGACAAGTGTTCTGGGATCCCCGTTCTCCTCCAGGGTAGACACAGGTGCCTGAAGATACTGCAGCTCCTGTGGGCCCAGCAATTGTCAGAGGTTCCCGCGGCCACTGGCCGGTGCCATCACAGCACTGCCCCATCTTGCCTTCCTTCCAGGTGCCTGGGACAAGATGCCTACACCAGCTTCTCCCTTTCCACACCTGGTCTCCTCCCCGTGCATGCAGACAGGCCAGTCACAAGAAGCTGGACCATGTGGAGAAGAATGCGGCATGAGGATTGGAGGAAACGTCACCAAGAGCCTGCGATGTGCAGGTAACACACCTGCTGCAAACGAGGAGCTGGGTACTGCCTGACAAAAATGAAAGACAACAGCCTTCGATCCGGATCACAGCTCAACGTCAGGAAATCAGACCTTCACAACATCGGGACCACAAGACCAAAGCCGGCCAGGGTTTCGTGTCACTGGGATTCACAATCAACACCTACGGAAGCTGCAGCCCAGAAATCACATGGCAGAGGGCGCCGGGCAACACGGCATAGGGTACCGGGCAACA